AAAAGAAAGGGGGGAGAGAAGGAGAGAGAGTGTGTGATTCCATGACAAAATGTATTCAGACCCCAAATGTCTACAACATTTGCTGGTACAGAGCTGGTGTTATTTTGTTTTTTGACTCAGGTTCTCACTGTGTATTTCAGGCTGGCCTTGAAATTTTGGTGATCCTTCTGCCTCAGGGATGCACTACATGAGCAGCTAACCTGGTTAACTCCTGAATGAGAAAATGATGCCAGGAAGGGGATGTTTCATAAAAGAACCACTCTAAATCCAAACTTTAGACTTCTCAAGAAAGGTCTGACTTACAGTTTTTCAAATTTATCTGATAAAGTCCTAATCTTTCAAACTTTATTTTACTGCATGTGTTAAGAATAATGTGTGCACACTCTTTCAGTCATTTCTATTTTTAAAATCCTTGCTAGAAGACTACTGGGTTAGAAAAAAAAATCTGTATATAGAGAGCTACATCGCTGACAATGAAGAATCTAAAACATGGCTCTGGTCTTATAACATTTTAAACCAGTTCTACACTGGCAAAATCAGCTCCTCCAGTATCACAATGCGCACAGCCCCGTTCTGTGAATCCTGACCACTAACTGAAATTCTCCACACGGCCAGAATTTCCTGCAATGAAGCCAGCAAGCCATTTCAGGTGCGGACATCTTGCGACAGCTACCATGTGTGCCAATGCCCCCCGAGTGCCCAATTTCATGGGCAATGGGCTGGGCGATCTTTCTCATCCTTACGTTTCACCTCTCAAAATATGTACCAATATAAAAATGGATTCATAAGATACTGAAAGCACAGAAGTCTTTCAAGGCAATTAGTACGGTACCATCCAAACTAACAGCCAGAAATTCAGGACAAGTACTACTAATAATTATGCTTGTGTATGTCTAAAATTAACTAAAATGTAAAACTTCAATATATGTTCAAAAATATTTTGTCCAAAATGGCCTACAGTGTAAATGGAGGAAGTTACACCCACAATAAAGATGTTTCCACACTTTGGTTCTCTGGTTGCGTCTGTTCACACTCAGATTAGTGTGATTTCACTGGTGTAACCTTTACTATCCGGGGCAACATTTCTCACCATGTTTGGTTTTTAAAAGAGCAATTAATTGGCGTGAGATCAAAATTCTCCCTGAGATTGCAGTACTCCACACTTTCCCCTCACTTTCCAAGTTTTCCATTTACATAGCTACCAATTCTTTTTAATTAGATAATAAATTACTAAAAAAAAAAAAAAAAATCTCCTGCATATGTCATTACTCATTTTGCAGAGGGTACCAAAATACCATTCTCCTCAACCAACTTTAACGCCTCCACGGGATAATGTAAATTTACGGCCAAAGACATAAGTGAAACTAGAGCTCGTGAGATGATTTTGAATTGTGATTTTAAAAATCTTTATTCAGAAGAAGGAATTAAGTATCAGCTCTTCCTAAAGATCCACAGCTAATGGACACATATATTCCCAGGGTTAAAAAGCCCTCTCTATAATTAACATGTGTGCTGGTTTCCCATTACTTACCAACTCACAGGGGCTACACCATAAAAATTAAATGGGCAAGGATTAGGAGCGATTAAATGGGGAAGGACAGATGACAGCTACACACTGAATGTAACAGTTTCCCAGTGACACATGCCTATTATTCTAAGCTATACACTAAGACTTATTCATAATGAACAAAACTATTCTCACACCAATATAAATAATTCTCCTTTGCATTTATTTATACACTCTGGGGTGCGAAAAACTTTAAATTTTCTTATTACAAGGCATATTTTATATATTTATCATTCTGAATTATAAAAGGCTATGTTTTATATTTAGTCTAAAAAAGTTAAATATATAAAATTTTATCCTCTTTTAAAAAATAATATTCAATTAAGTCGATGATACATGCATATTGAGATCTCTAAAATTATTAAATACAAAATACATAAACCAGAAGAAATTAAGATGTTTGGCTTTAAATTACTACTCAACGTTTAAACTCTAAAATTCATAGTGATAATACAAAAGTGACACCAAGAAATCTCCAAAACCAAACCACTGAACGATACTCAGGTCTACACAGTTACAAAGAGATGCACTGAGGGAGTGGCGGTGATCATAGGGCACACAGCACCAGCCTTTTATCACTGAAAGCTCTAAAACGTTTGCCACCCCTGAATTAAGGTCATCACACAAGTAAGTGTCTCTGCTGCTCCTTAGAGAAACAATGGCTAAAAGGAAGGAAAGATTACAAAAGCCAGCCACCAGAAGTATATATACAGCATCTTCCTTCTGAACATGTGAGCTACATTGTCCTGAGGAAACAGAAAGGGAGAACGTCAAGTGGGAAAAGTAGCTACGAAAAAGACCTGAAGCAATGGGTTAGAAACTCAAGGCAAGTGGAGACTACAAAGGAAAAACTTAACTGTGCTGAAAGTCAAGCAGGTAGAAATTCAAAGACATGTTCTTGACAGAACAGGCTGCAATAAGCAGCAAAGACATGTTCTGTACAAGTGATTTATTCTTTAAAAAGCAATCTCAACTAGGCAATTTATAAAGCTGCAGGAAAGCTAGATAAGACAATGAAGAACACTGAACTCCCCTAAGAGGTGAAATGTTAAAGAGAATTATAAAAGGAATACCTCTATCTCAAGAAAAATGGAAGCCCTTTAGTAACCTGAGTTTGCAGACAGCACAAATTATATTCACATGTGGTCATGAGCAATACAACTAGGGATTAAAAATCTGAACAGTGGGCTGGGAAGATGGTTCAGTGGAGTAAGCGCTTCCCTGGCAAGCACAAGGGCCTGAGTTCAATCCCCAGTTCCACCAAAAAAAAAAAAAAAAAATCTGAAGAGTAAGAAATTAAAAATTAGGTAAGATGAACTCCTTCTTTGCCACTTATCGCAGCCTATTCTATCAATTTCAAAGGGCATTTATGTTAGATCTAGTTGTCTCAGGTCCCATTTCAGACCAATAAACACTGTTTCCTCATTCTTGTGCCTCCTCTCCCTGTTGCTCGATATGCCTTACAAGGAACAAGATTTTTAGGTACAGATTATTAGCACTTGACAATGCCTGCATTCCAGGAGGTTTCCTTAGGGCTCTCTACTTCAGATGGACATATGAGTAGTCAGAAAGGGACTTCACTCCCATCACTGTTCTACGACTATTACTACTAAAGCTACTAAACTGCATGAGGCAAGAGCATGGTGAATTCTCAAAGCCATTCCCATATACAGTGTTGAAACTACTAAGTATTTATGAGAGAAAAACACACCCACAACCTTACGAGGTAAGCCCATTTCTAATTAATATAACATGTACTTACTTTGGGATAATCCAATTCAAAGAATGTCTCCAAGTTGTTGATTAGATTAGGGTCTACCCCTTTCAGTGGTTTCAAAAGGGACACACCTGGCAGCTTGCTGTATGGCTGTTTATCTGTTGCCTTCTTGTTGAGGTGTAATCGGCTAGAAAGCAAATGACACAAATTATTGCTAAAAAATATATTAATGCTACACCAATATACAGCAGATACAATCTATCAATGAATTGCTATGCTGCACTGTCAATTGAAATTTAAAAAACAACAACAACAACAACAACAAAAAAAAAAACCCTAACATCTTTCCAAAGCAGAAGACCTGAAAATGAAGGGAAGTAACACTAAGTAAGCTTACACTTTAGGAAAACCAGAACAAAGTCGAACAAACATTTCAACAAACTTAGATGCCTCATCAGAACTTAGCCATCCATGCTTTGTACCTATTGTCAATTGCTGAGGTCAACGCTTCAAAACTATGCCAGACATAGAAGAGGAGGGATCTCAATTCACTGCAAAGAAATAAATGACAGTGCTAGCCCACAGTAAGACTGCCCTTCCTCTCAAACTGCAATCAAAATGACCAAATAATAAAATCCTTAACTATTATTTATTTTTTGGTACCAAGGATGGAACTCAGGACCCAAGTGCTTATGCCACTGAGCTATCTCCCTGGCCCCAAATCCTTATCTATTCCAGAAAAATACAGAATAATGAGAATGTTTGATAAAATGTTGTAATAAACTGTCTAGATAACATATGATTAAAAATGCCGAACAACCACCACAAAAAAGCAAGAAAATGGGTTTACTGAAAACTCCCAATATTCAAAACAAAGAAAGACAGGAGTAGAACAGAGGAAAGTTGCAAGAAAAAAAAAAAAATCACCATGAAAAAATGTCTATTAATGACATGCAGACATTATCGGTATCAGCGGTTAATAGAGAAGTTGGCCAGGGTTCCCATTGCTGGAGCATCCCATGGTGCTACAGCACAAGGTTTTACGAAGAACACCGCCGAGAGAGAAGGTGCCCCAATGAACATCATGCTGTCAAAACAAGAGATGCCATTCAGCAGGAAGGCAAGGTCTCTGAAGGTCCTGGACGACTTCCTCTCTGGTTCTCATGATCACACTGCAAGTACTTCTCCTAATGAAGGCTCTAAGCCTCAACAGTAATCAGACAGTAGACTGATCATGGATCCATCTGCAAGATGTTTCAAAAGCACATGCTTTTCTGCATTTTAGTATCTTGAAATCAATGGCATCTTATAATTACTGCCAGCCAGATGGCAATCGTTAATAGTACCCTGTAAGCCAACCAAAAAGACCTCTTCTTTTACAAGGGGGAAAAAAAAAGGCCAACCCAACCCCACTAGTATCATCAATGCATCACTGAACTACACTATGAATCTGTGAAGTACTTCTCAAAGCACACCAATGCCATTCCCTAGATCAACTAAGGCTCATGCCCAGTTAATTAAGGCCAGGGTATAGTACAGCAGCCAGCACCTGTTTCTTTTTCTTTTTTTTTTTTTTTTTTTGGCGGAACTGGGGATTGAACTCAGGCCTTTGCACTTGCCAGACAAGCACTTATTCTACTGAGCCATCTCCCCGGCCCCTAAGCCATCTCCCCGGCCCCACCTGTTTCTAATATGGCCACGGAAACACTTTTATAGCAACAAGTTATGTACAATAGAATTTCTTTGTTATTGTTTGTCTGTCTTTTTGAGACAGGGTCTTGAGCTCATTTTGTATCCCAGGCTGGTCTCAACTCTCAGTGATCCTCCTGCCTCAGCCTCCCAAGTGCTGTTTGTATCACATATTTAACTGATTGAACTAGTAACAGGTTCAAGTAGTTGAAAGCACTAAAAACATAAAGAGATTCTCATAAAAGCTGGCCAAGAGAACATTTTTAAATTGGAAAAAAAATTGTCACAGTGCTACTCAAAGTGTTGTCTAAGAATGGCTTTTCACAGGTCTATATGAGAAAGGCCAGTGAAAAGCGCAAAGTTTCACAATAATCTGACATAGACCCAAGCACATGATCATCAATTAATTTTTTTCTGGAGTTTGTCACAATTATCAGTCTACAGCAGATTAGAGAACTTTAAACAACTAATTTCAAATTAACAGAGTTTGGAAAATACTAATATAGAGGGCTACCCAGAGACAAAACAACTATCTAAAACTTAAATAACCACAGAAATGATCACACTCCCATTTCTAACAAACCAGCAGACCTGGGGAAACCTACAAGGCAACTAGATTGCTGGCAGGAAGTTTGTATCACACATTTAACTGACTGAACTAGGAACAGGTTCACATGGTTAAAACCACTAAAGATACAAAGAGATTCTCATAAAAGCTGCCACCCACCTCTACCCATCTCCCATCTCCCTAATTCCAATAACCACTTCCACAGCATTATTAACATGTTCACAAAGGGGCCACAGTTTGTATGTTTCAGTGCCTGGAAGCTATCATTTTAATTTGATCATTCCCACGGGCTTGAACCACCCGTAGTGTACATGTATGACTGTCACACTGAGCGGCTTACACCACGTCTTAGGTTTATGATTATAATCAAAGAAAGACATGATTTAGCATTGAAACATATAAAAGTGATTAGATCTGTTTGTACCATCAATGATACAAGCTGCACGATGGGCCAGCCATGCATGTATCACAGGTGGTTCAAGTCTGCAGGAACATGTTTATTTTTTACATATCCTTCCAGAGATATTTTAAAATAGGTACAGGCCAAAACATGCACACAAACACATACACAGTGACTTACATACACACACACAACTATACACTATCTTCTCTTTTGTGATTCAAATGTTACAGCACGTTCTAAATACAGGACTGAACTTTTAGGAAAAGTCCTGACACTCAGAGGAGGGTAGGGTTGCTGCTTACTTGCACTCCGTCCTGAGGGTTGTGGAATAAAAGGAACCCTGGAAAACACCTCCCATGTGGGTTTAGGGCCCAGCATGCAAAGTAACTGTTGCTGCCTGAACAGAACCCTAGAGAAGGAATGAGAGAAACCATCATCTATCACCACGAATATGTGACAAGAACCAGTGTCTAGAAATAGAATGCGAGCTGGATTTCCAGAAATGACCCAGAAGGTATCAGAGAATGGGAAGTAAAAGACAGAAGTCATGAAATAGTTGAAGATGTGAATGATGGGACAGACGAAGATTCCAGTAGTTCTCATATATTTGGCCCCTTTGGTGATCATGCATGCTAGGAAACTGTCTCAAAACAAAATACGGACCAATTTACAGAGAAACTCAGCCCATTAATAATTTCACAGAATTTGGCAAACTTTAGATTAAAAACAACACCCCAGCTTTAAGTTTTTGGTCAAATTTCAGAGTGTATCCTATTTCCCTTCTCCTTTATTAAGATGTTTTATTTAAATAATTTAGATACACTTTAGATATCCTCCCATCCTCTGAAGCTCTTCATATCAAGAGCACAGTATTGTATCATACTCATTTTGACTTCTCAAACAATGAAGGCTCAAGGATGAATCGGACTGGCATTACATCTGAAATTTCTACCCAAAATTATAAGCCAGATTATACTCTAAAACTTCGTAAAAGTCTCATTTGTACCCCTCCTCTGTCTCTGCATCAGCCTTTATTATTTGCCTTCCATACTAAGTGGTATGCTTGGAATGCACTCCCTAGGACAGTGACAGCAAACTCGAACTGCAACCCCAAACCCACTTACTTATCACAAAGTGCCAACACCGCTATTGAACCTAAACAAGGAGGTTTCAGTTTAGAAAACAAAACAAAAAAAAAACCCAAACTGGGGGCTGGGGAGATGGCTCAGTAGAATAAGTGCTTGCATAGCAAGCGCAAGGGCCTGAGTTCAATCCCCAGTTCATACACACACACAAAAAACCAAACCAAAAAACCCAAACTCATACATTAACATCTTTTGTCTTAAAAGAAAAATACCCATCCATGATCGAGGTTCCCACCCACATGCTGTAGGTTTGCCACCAGTGCCCTTGGATGTCGGATCCCCCAAATGTGACTGACAGCCCATCTGAATGATGTCTCAAGTGGTCGCAGGGCGGAGCCCTCTGAGTGAGCTGGTGCTGAGGGGCTCTGTCTGGCCCTACAAAGTTGACTGGTTTCAAGCTAGTTCTTACTGTTTCTCAGCTGAGTGTTTCTGCATTAGGCTGATGGAATGCCACCGAGGCTATGGCCTCCACACGCTGCACAGCAGGGATTTCTCACAGAAGCCCTTTTCTACCCTCAGACTACAGCAGCAAGATGACTTGGTTGTTTGCCAGGACACTAGGTCTATCACTTCCTCAGTTCCTGCTTCTGTACTGAGAATCCAGTTCTACTCTCCTATCATGCACTTTGCTTGCAGCCTTGAACTTTTCTGGATGTATAACATACACATTATAAAGCCACATGTGGAACAAAAACACTACTAGCATCCCAAAGGCCTAGCACATCCCCCTATATTTACTCCTATTTACTGGCTTTCTCTTGGCCAATCACTACCCTGACTGAGAACACCACAGAACACTAGTTTTGCTACTTTCAAATTCTATGAAAATATAATCCTACTGGACAAACCCTTTTGCAGCTGGCTTCTTCTAAATTATGTCAGTGAGACAGCCATACTGCTACATTTGGTTATAGTTTATTCTTTCTCAGTAAAGTACAGTGTTTCTTGTCAAAATACCACATTTTATTTTCTGTTGAGTTAGGCTGTTTCAGTCTGATGCTATTACAAATAATGTACAGCTTTGTCTCTGTCCTTACACAAATTTGTGGTCCCCTTTCCCTTGGACCTTCAACTTTTGGAAAGATGAAGAAACAAAAGAATGAAATTACTCTCCTATTCAGGGGTGGGGGGAATCAGACAAAGCATAGCAAACACATTTTAGAATACAGGGCACTAGGACAGCGATGCCTGAGACATGGAAGATGACTGAAGTGAGTGCTGCCACTGCCCCGGCTTGCAGCTTCAAGACCATTTCCAGGTTACGGCACAGGGATGGTAGAACCATGCAGAGGGGATGGAGTTGTGTATGGAAAGATGTTTTCATCCAACACTGTCAGGTACACAAAGGACATGGACAACAAAAACAGTAAGGGAGGAAAAAA